TTTGGTTATTTGATTAAAAGCTGCCTTTCCCACTTGACTGGAAGCTCTGTGAGAATATGTACAGGATTTATTTTTGCGTACAAGTGTATTCACCACCTAATAGTGTCTTGAACATGAAGTATTCAGTAATTACTTTTGAAGTGACTGTATTAATCAGATAAAAATAATTGTTCTCCAATCATATTCCTTGAGTTTTAGGCCCCCAGACTTCTGTCATGAGGTGTGTTTCATATGCAAAGTTATACCCACATTTTATCCTCTCCACATTTTATCCAATCTCAGAGACCCATCTGAATGGACACTTTCTTGACTTTTCATACAACTATCATCTCTGCCTCCTTTGAAAATCATGGCACTTAAGTGTCTGCTCTCTTGCCACACTTGGTGTTGCTATCATTAAGCTGTGCCTCTTATCCCCTTTAGAAGTTCATAAGCGCCAGTAGGACAAGGCTGATTCATTTCTCTTTATATCACCTGCAGTAACTAGTGCATTTCTCAGATGCTAAATAAACGTGTCTTCTTTATGGATTAATATAAGTAAAACACATATTATGTGTTCAATTAATGTTTATAGAAACAAGGGAAAATTGTTTTAGGTACTTGTCAGTTCCACCAATCTGTAGTGAATAAAAGATTGGTGGAACTGACTAAACAGCACTATAAATAGGGCTCACAGAGGAAATGCCTTCTGTTCTGATCACTTATTATTTAATAGATTTATTTGTTATAGGTGGCAAAGCAGTTCTAGAACTGTTAGACTCAACTTGCCTTTTTACTTCCCTGTTTCTTGCTCAGTAAATTACAGTGAAGACTAATTGACATTTCACTGAAATAATTTTTCTTACTACAGAATTAAAATAAACCTTTTCATAGAATGCAGCATTAAATAGGGTGCCAAATGGCTAACTTGAGAAAGACGGCAGGCTGGATATAGTGTCAGGTGTAGAACATAGGTTTGAACTAAATACCTGAGGATCAGGGGACCAGCTATTAAGAATAAATTGTCACTGTTCACAGGCAAAACACACTTGAAAAAACTTAAAAAAAAAAAAAAACAACTCACTGAACTTAAACAATTTGTTGTAATTTTTTCAATGCTCAACAGAAAAAAAAAAAAATCCAAACAAATGCCAACTATGGTTCCAAACAGGAAAGTCACTCCTCATTTCCCCCTTAGGTCCTTCAATACGTCTTGATTCTGGGCCAATGGGTCCAGCTTTGGTGTGAAGACAACATTCCTCCCTCCCTTTCCGCACGCTACCTCTATGAACATTCTGGGGGCTTCTAAATTTAGATAAAGGACCATTGGGAGTTCCTGTGCTCCAAAATACTGGAAATCAATGTATACAATTAACTTCTTTAAACATTTACTGAGTATCTAGTATGTGATGGGGTTTCCTCTAGGTACTAGAGATTCAAAGGTGAACAAGAAATTATCCTTGCTATGAAAGAGCACACAGTTTGGTGGAGTAGATGGGAATATGCAAATATCCTTTTTAGGTAAAAGACTGCAAATAGAGCTAAAAAGCAAAACACCTCGGAAGACAAAAGAGAGAGAGACTTGTTCTGATTGTGGGGTTTGTTGATGGGAGGTGGGAGCTACACTGGGTGTAGAGACATTGTGGTTCTTCCTCCTGCATCCATCTGTCTCACCTCTCCCTTAATGGGTGACAGATATGTGACTGGATGGCACTGATCCCACCCTGACTCTATCAGTGGGTACTGTTCACTCAAAATGCCAGGAGTACTTCTATTGAGAAACATTCAGCTAAACCAGTGAGAGAAATCTCATCCTCTATTGATTCAGCTACTCCAGGTCTAAGCCAATTAACTCACAGCATTCCCCTTGGCCATTAGTGTGGCCTAATCAGAATACAGTGTCAGACTTCTATTCAATGGTTGTGGGCAAGCATCTTTTCTGTCTCTCATTGGATATGAAGGAAGAAGGACATGTACCCCCAATTTGTGCTCAAACCCATCTCATGACCATGAGAGGAGCCTGCTTTAATATAAATCTAGCAGAAGGGATAGTAGAGGGGAAACATGGGAAAAACAAAAAACAAAAATGAGCCCCTGATGACATTATTTGGCCAACTATCCTGAACATCATCCTTTTTCTAGATGTTCCAGTTATGAGAATCAATAAATTCCCTTTATTATTATTATATTATTATTATTATTACTATTATTTAAGAGATGGGATCTTACTATATTGCCCAGAACAGCCTTGAATTCCTGGCCTCAAGCAATCCTCTGGCCTCAACCTCCCCAGTAACTGGGCAGCTGGGACTACAGAGGTGCACAACTGTATGCTCAGCTTAAATTTCTTTATTTCAAAAGACAGTTTCCACCGGGCTTTCCCTTACTTATAATTTGAAAGCATCCTAAGGTACAGAGGACCTTGAAATAAATAGGACTTCAATGGGTAGGGGATGGAGGCGGAAAGGATATTCCAAGTAATAGAAACACCTTGAGCAGGGCATTAATTTAAAAAATGTAGCAAATTGTGTGTGTGTTTAAGAGAGAGAAACCTAGGTGTTTATGGGACATCTATAGTGGGACATATTCTTATACCATTTCTAAGATGAGAAAGGGAGAGGGGAGGTGGAAAGAAAGAAGCAATATTTTTTCTAGTGACAACTTCAGATTGCACTGAATAATGAATGTCGATATACATAAACTGCCAATAATTTTTATTTCCATAATTTTTTCCAGAGTATTAGTATTTATCATAAAAATATATAATAAGATTTCAAAATTAAATGAGTGGTAAATTCACCAATTTTATGAAACTCATTTCATTTGTACACAGCATACCAAATTACTGGTGCTGTGTACAATAACAATTACATAGTTATGACGTATCTAAAAGGTTTTTCCATTTTAAAGCTTTATTGTATGGAGAGGTGAATATGAAGGACATTATAACTATCACTGTTAAAGAAGACATACAGGCTGGGCGCATGGCTCATGCCTGTAGTCCCAGCACTTCGGGAGGCTGAGGTGGGTGGATCTCTTGAGCTCAGGAGTTCGAGACAAGCCTGGGCAACATGGGGAAATCCCACCTCTAGAAAAACTACAAAAATTAGCCAGGCGTGTTGGTGTGTGCCTGTAGTCCCAGCAACTTGTTGCTGAGGCCAGAAGATCACTTGAGCCCAGGAAGTTGAGGCAGCAGTGAGGCATGCTTCTGCCACTGCACTCCAGCCTGGGTATAAAAGTGAGACAAAGGAAAAAAAAAAGTTGTGCACTGAATTATTCTCCCTCTGGAATGTGCAGTTGTGTGTGTGTGTGTGTGTGTGTGTGTGTTTTCTTAGAATTCATGAGGTCTTACACAAAATAAAGAAACTGTAATTGGGGAAGTCCTAGGTGATGGCTTAATCATATTTATAATTGGTGCGTTTATGTCTAAATGCTAATTTATGCATGATGCCATACCAGGTAGATTTATAAATTAATTTTAAAAAGTCATAGTCCTTGCTTTCAAGATCCTTAAAAATGTCCTAACAGCATTGACAATGTATAGAGAATAGAGAGTATGAGTATCCCCAAATATATTTTTTAACAAAAAGAAATGTAATATATTGTGCATGGGGGCATTTTGAGTCTCCTTTTCATCTTGGAAAAGATGAAAAAGAAACAAGAAGGCCAACTTTAGGGAGAGCAGGGCTCTAAAAGTTGGAGAAGAGAAAGTTCTAAAAGGGAGAGAAAGGATTTCATACAAGGAAATGTTTTTAAAAGGCAAGTGCCAAGAATGCACTCCTTCTGGAGTCTCATGGGGCATCTTGCTACTGCCTTGTATCTCTTCCAACATCAGTCTAAAAGTCACAGGATGCTAAGGATTAAAGTGGCCAGACAGGCTCAGGTTTCCCTTACCAGTTATCTATTTTCTTAAATATGCACCTTACTAGGAATCTGATTGCACAAAAGCTCTTGGAACACAACGTGCATATGGAAGTGGTCCTGGAAAAATGCTACCATTAATTACTTTCATTTCAAGCTATCTTTGAAGTTCATATGAAAATCGGATGGTAGGAAAACTAAGTCAGGTTTAGATAGTTTCCCACCCACTGTATTTCATCTAAATTTTTTCAAGTGCTTTGCTGCTTATTTGTTTCTCCATTTTTGTTATTGCTGTTCATAAGCAAATAGACAAGATGGCAAGAAGTATCAAAGCTAAACTAAATCTAGTATGAGAACAATGTTTTGTTTTGTGTTTTATCCTAGAGCTTTGCAATGGCATGGAATTAATAATATTGTCATATAAAAAGAAGAGAAGATGAAACAAAAATAGTTAAGTTTATCATTTACAGTGCAATGAGGAATATATATGTCTGTCAAAAATTGTGAAAAGCAAAGGTAAACTTGCAATTGTGTGTGTGTGTGTGTGTGTGTGTTCATGTGTGTGAGAAAGAGAAGGAGAGGGAAGAAGGGAGAGAGGAACACAGTAGCTATCTTCAGGTATAACACATTTTAAGAATTGAATTCTTGTCCCTTTAGGAAAAATCCTGTCCCTTCAGGTTGCAAATTTTACACATTAAAAAAGCTAAAAGAAAAGATTATTAAGCAGTTTGATTATTTAATCAAAGTCTATTAACATTCTAAAAAGTTATAAGTTGTGATTAAAATTGATGTTTTTATATTTATTAATAATTCTCCTAACATAAGATTAGTTGACAGCATTCAAAGACACAGATTTTTTTACATTGTCAATAGTAATTGTAATATATTCAAAACAAAGGGATAAAAGATGTCCAATTACACTTAAATTAAAAAAATTATAAGACATATAAATAAAGTTCAAGTTAATTGTTATACAACCAGTTTCCCTCTTGTTGCAAAACTTACAGACTTATAGTATACAGAATCTGTATAGTACAGTCTGTATACTATAGTATAGTATACAGATAGTAACTTATAGTATACAGATTCTCAAGGACTAAACTGAAAGTAAACTACATGTGGATAGAGGAAGTTGAGAAGGAAAGAAGAATCATTGGTACCTGGATACTAGTCAGCGTTGTGTATTGGTAAGCCTTGACCACCAGGTAATTTGCTTCCAGGTCTATGAGTCCCAAAATCATGTACTTCCACCATCTTCGTCGTAAAATTGCCAGGAGGTTTTCTTCTCCTGTGTTACAAAGTTAAGAAGAAATGGGTTAGGTTCCTGAAACAGACTAAATTGTATATTTAGAAGAATTCTAATATGTTGCAACATTATATATTTTTAACCTTATGTTTACCAAATATTTAAACAAATAAATCAAGGTATCAGATACCCACATGTTTTTACTTAGCAAATTATCTTTATTGTAGATTTGGCTTTTCAAGTTAGTTTCTATGCCAGAGTAAGACTGGGCAGGTTATTAGCTTACCACGCAAAACATCTTTTGTGTGTGAATAAAGGAACGATAAAATATTTACATCATATGAAAATAAAAAGAAAGGTGTACCAGAAAGGCTGCATAAACACACACATTCCAAATTATCCTAAATTTCAGGATTGTGATGCAATAGATAAAAATGAAAAGAACCAAATACAAAAAGGCTTGTGCTTGGCAGCAGTTCTGTAGTAAGACTCTGAGATGCTATCCTGAGTTCCTGATCAGCTTTGAATGTTGCATGCACTCTGGTGGTTTGTGGATGATGAGAAGAGAGGAAGTTGGGTCATCACTCTCAGATGAAAAGGAGTGCCATTTGAAAACACTTTTAATACTGCCAACAACTATAATCTTCACCATCTTGCATTTTAAACTGGTAGCATCAGAACAGCTGAATCTCTTAGTTCTTCATTCTTATTTTGACATATATTTCAGGCCTGAGATAAACCTTATTTTTCAAGGTGGGGCAATCAGGATCAGGAACAATAATAACTCTCTGTAGCTAACCTGTGGGGTCTTCATAGAGGATGTAGATATACAGAAATTCAGTGAATGGTGACTAACCATATCTATGACTGTGTAACAAGGTATCCAGAGACAGAGATGTTTAAAACAAGAAATACTGATTATCTCTCAGTTTTTGTGGGTCAAGAACCAGGTTAGAGCTTAAATGAGTGTCTCCAGCTCAAGGTCTCCCAGTAAGTTGCAGCCGGTTGTCAACCAGGAATGCAGTGTGATCTGAAGGAATGACTGGGAAGGGACCTGCTTCCAAGCTCACTCACATGGCTGTTGGTGGGTGTTGGCCCCTTACTCCAAGGACCTTTGCACAGTACTGCCTCAAAACATGGTATTTGGTTTATCCCAGGATGAACAATGAGAGAGAGAGAGAGAGAGAGAGAGAAAACCAAAGACGGAAGATCAGTTTTTTATAACCTGTTCTCAAAAGTGACACTTCTACTCTACTCTATTCTTTAGTAAAGGGTCAATAAGTCCAGCCCACATTCAAGGGGAGAGAATTCCATAAGTAAGTGAATACCAGGAGGCAGAGATCCTTGCAGGCCATCTTAGAGGCTGCCTAAACAGTGACACACATCTTTAGTACTAGAGATGTACTTCAGCTGGTCCTCAAAGCCTCAGCAGAACACTGGATCCTCAGTTGTATTTGGACCACTCTCAGAACCTTGAGCTACTGATTTCTGCTCTTAGCTGTATTCCAGTGACCATGATATGATGTGGTCTTTCCAACCCTATGGAGACACGTGAGCACAAAGCTTTCAGTTACATACAGACCGCCAAAGCATGAGTTGTGGCCAGTTGGCAATAGAAGAGAAGGGTCTCTTGACCTTTGGTGGTCAAATCAGTTTTCCAGCCTATTTTTTCAAGCCACACTTCTCATAGCCTTCAAGCCTTCAAGCATGCACAAAGTCTTTCTGTCTCAGGGAACTGCACTCCCCATCTTGCAAACTCCTATTCATTTTTCAAAATGTAGCCCTTCTCTGGTCTTTTGGCTAACCCCTTTCCTCAACTGGGCAATGCACATACATCTCTGATTAATCCTTTCATAGGATTGTGATTACTGACTCTTCACTAGACTGGGCGCTTTTATCCAAAGGTAGAGTTAATGTCTTACTCATATACTTATCCATGGCATCTAGCATACTGACATATAGCAAGGGTTAGCTAAGTGTTTTGCAGCGAATGAATTAATGAATAGAAAAAAAAAAACTCTGTGAAATATTGTCTGAATATGTCAAGAGCCAGTGCGAGAATATGAGTCACTCTTTTCATGGTTTTGCACATGAGGAGGCTGGTAGATGTGATCCCCAAGGTCAGTTCTTCACTGCCAGATCATTTTGGCAGTCTTTGAACAGCTCTTCTGCCTCTCTGACTTGCCTTACATCTTTGACAATCAACACATCTGTCAGGATTTGTCTTGTCAGTCGGTGATTCTCAACCTGACTCTACATTCACATCATCTGGAGAGCCTTTAGAAAGTCCTGGCCGAGTGCGGTGGCTCATGCCTGTAATCCCAGCACTTTGGGAGGCCGAGACAGGCAGATCACGAGGTCAAGAGATCGAGATCAACCTGGACAACATGGTGAAATCCTGTCTCTATTAAAAATACAAAATTTAGCTGGGCGTGGTGGTGCACGCCTGTAGTCCCAGCTACTCGGGAGGTTGAGGCAGGAGAATCACTGGAACCCAGGAGGCGGAGGCTGCAGTGATCCGAGATCACGCCACTGCACTCCAGTCTGGCAACAGAGTGAAACTCTGTCTCAAAAACAAAACAAAACAAAACAAAACTCAAAAAAGTCCTAATGCCTGGGACTAGCCCCTAGAGATTCTGATTTTATTGGTCTTGGGTGGGGGTCTGTGCATTGTGCTGAGGATCAAAACTAGGACTTTCAGATGATTAATGTTCAATGGCCATTCTCAGGGTGACTTGAGCTAAGAATCCCAAAGAGATACAACCACAGAGTGCTGAAGACTCTTCATACCAAAGAAATGACCTGAACATTTGGCCCAAAGTACGCTTTCTCTTGTCTCTGGGCCTTTCCATGTGCTGTTTCCTCTGCTTGGAGGACTATTCTTCCTTCAGTCTCCAAATGACGTCTCAGCATACACACTTCTGTCAGGAAGCCTTCCTTGATACTCAAAAGTGACACTTCTACTCTACTCTATTCTTTAGTAAAGGGTCAATAAGTCCAGCCCACATTCAACGGGAGAGAATCACCCTAGACTGGGCTAGGTTTTCCTGCTGTGTGCTCCCTTAACATCCCCCCTTTTTTTTCTTTTTTTGAGATGCAATTTTACTCTTGTCACCCACGCTGGAGTGCAATGGCGCGATCTCGGCTCACTGCAACCTCCACCTCCCTGGTTTAAGCAATTCTCCTGCCTCACGGTCTCCCGAGTAGCTGGGATTACAGGCATGCACTACCACACCCAGTTAATTTTGTATTTTTAGTAGAGATGGGGTTTCTCCATGTTGGTCAGGCTGGTCTCAATCTCCTGACCTTGTGATCCACCTGCCTCGACCTCCCAAATTGCTGGGATTACAGGCGTAAGCCACCATGCCCAGCCAACACCCTTTATTTATACCTAGTGCTTATCCTCCTGTCTTATAATTACCTACTTTCTTGACTCTGTTACACATTAGATTATTAACAATTTGGAGACAGCAGAATTGTCTTGGTCATCACTTTATTCCCAGATCCAACAGTGCATGACAGGCAGTCAATAAATAATACAACTGCGTACATAAATTTCATGTTTAATAATCTCAGCAATGTTAAATGCCATTGCAATTGAGGCTCTGAAAATACATCTATTAGAAATATTCATGTTTCAGCCTATGAGAATTGTTTTCTAGTTAGAATGTAGACAACATCTGACAAAATTAATTTGGTGAACATTTTACACATAATACACTGTACCTTGGATATAAAAAGGTCAATGGCATATTTAACCTCCACACTGCAATTCTAAAAATAATAAATAAAGGGTCACAGACCCTTGTCCCAGTTAATTTACACAGTGAACACAGAATTGCCAGACTCAGAGCAAACCAGCCACATCCCAATACATAGTGCTGAAAAAATGGGCTATGGTGCTGTTTGTTCCATCAATCAATAACATATTCAAAGTGTTATTCATTACATAGATTCAAAGGAATGATTAGTTGCCTTGCCATTCTGCTGAAGTTTGCAATGCAAAACACCCTAAATAAATGCTTCCATATTGTTTCATTTGAAGTACCTGAAAATAGACAACATGCTTGCTTAGCAGAATTATTCAGGAGGGCAAGAGGAAGGCTTTTTTATTTTTGGTTTAGCAAAAAATGCAACCGCTAAAAAGCCTGCTTGGGGATTTATCTACATGACTCCCATTAACACTGTTCTACAATAGACCATTAAAACTATTTCTGGAATAATGAAAATACATTCCTTAGAGTCCCTGTGCCAGCACTACCCAAACCTCATGAAACAGGGCCATCTATAAGAAACACCAGTACAACTGGTAATATGCTAATGTTTTGAAATCCACCCCATCTTTTTTTTTTAAATTAACTGGGAGAAGTAATAAAATCCGTGGGTGGAAACTTTAGAATTATGGTTTGGCCATTAAATGCATTCTGTTTACTATTTTTATTATCAATATGTCCAAATATAAATAAAAAGATTAGAGAATAACGTATCCTCCTCCCTGATTTAATAAATGTTAACAGCTTGCTGTGTTTTTCTCAGATCTTTATTTTTTGAGAAAGAAAATTTTACAGATGAAATCAAAGACCCCTCTCTGTCCCTGCCAGATTTTATTTCCATTCCTCCTTCCTCAAATCATTGTCCTGATATTGCTTTTTTGTTGTTGTTTTTGTTTGTGGGGGGTGTTGTTTGTTTGTTTGCTTGTTTCAGACAGGGTCTCGCTCTGTCTCCCAGACTGGAGTGCAGTGGCATGACCGTGGCTCACTGCAGCCTTGACCTCCTGGGCTCAAGCGATCTTCCTGCTTCAGCCTCCTGAGTAGCAAGCCCAGCTAATTTTTGTATTTCTTTTTAGAGATGGGGTTTTGCCATGTTGCCCAGGCTGGTCTTGAACTCCTGGGATCAAAGAATCCACCCGCCTTGGCCTCCCAAAATGTTGGGATTTACAGGCATGAGCCACCGTGCCAGCCTTATCATCTTGATTTTGTTATGTAACTTTTAGGCTGCTGTTTTTGTTCACATTTCTACATGTGCATGTATTCAGAATAGCA